TCCCTGTGGGGAACCCTATGGCGTCTCCTTTTTCCTCTGGGCTTCTGGCCCACTGTTGCGTGTAGAGTAGGACCCACTCGTGGTGGTACGTCCACCACGCCATACACGAAGGAGGAGGAGGAGAAGATGGCCGCCCTACTGCAAGAGAGGAAGGAGAAGGAGGCCAAAAAGAAGGCCTTGAAAGAGGAGCAGGCGGCCAAACTGAAGAAGATCGAAGAAGAGATGGCCACGGAGAAGGAGAGGCTAATAAAAGAAGAGGAAGAGAAGTTGAAAAAGGTAGAAGATGAAGAGGAAGACCCGCCAGTGCAGAAGAGTAGTGGACAGCATAGCGGAAGTCCTGGTGGGGAGTTGGAAAAAAGGATATCCGAATGGGTGGCTAATCTGACTGTGGGAGAGGAAGAAGAAGTTAGCATGTATATTCCGCAGGATCAGCAAGAAGCCGCCATGAGGGCTTGGGATGCAGAGAAAGACCCCCTTAGACGCCAGGCGTTGGAATATGAGAAGAGGATGGAGTGTGTCGTTGGAGTCGAGGTGGGACATCGCCTTGATAAGACTGAACGATTCTGCGCTGGCGCCATAGAGGGCGTCAAAGCGACAACTCCTAGGGAAGAGGAGCCGCGCCCACCACGTAGAGAACCAATCAAAGTTAAGTTCCCGGATTCCTATGCTGGGAAGAGGRAAGAGAACTTTGATAACTGGGAAGCCAACGTGAAGACCTACGTGCATTTGCAACAGGTSTCCTCGGATCAGCAAGTCTTGATTGCGATCCACGCACTTAAAGATGAGGCCGCCAGTTTTGCAAGGTCCTTGGTTCGTGCCGCTAACTGTAGCGACGATCCCGTTGCCTACTCCTCGTTTACCTCCCTCACCGAATTTATGAGATTACTGCGCGAGCGATTTGCTGACGTCGCTCGCRGTGTAAAAGCTTCAGATAAACTGCAAACCATCCATATTCGCAAATGGAAAAGCGCCAGGGCGCTCAAGGGTACAATGGACGAGTTAGTGGCCGTCCCTGATCACAAAGTCACAGAGACCCAATTAGTTAACCTCTTCTATCGAGCTATGCCCGAAGCTTTGCGAGGGCACTTCTTCGCGAAGAGCGAAGACCCTACCACGACATATGATTCTCTGAGTCGTGAGGTAGTGGCTTTTGAAGCCAAGTCTGCCTTTGTGTCTACCTTCTGGCACAGAGATCTGGATAGAGGGAAGCCATGGAAGGGCCGCACTATCTAGGGGCAAGTAAAGACTAAGGATAGCCTCGTCCTAACTTTAGACGAAGGTAGTGTGGACGAAATCCCCTACGACCAGATTGAGTGGGGGTTAGAGGAGGACAGCGGTATGGGCCAGGGGAGGACTTGCGCTGCTGTCGCGGCTGGAGGGAGGCCGCAAGGAAGAGGCCAGGGCCAAGGGGGCCGGGCCTCAGGGGGCTGGTTCCAGGGCGATCAGGGGGTTGGCGGCAGAGGAGGAAACCGCCAAGTGGGAGGCAGGGGTCAAGGTCCCCCGCAAAACCGCCCTAGGAACAGGTCTCCCTATAGGATAGGAGGATGGCATCCAGGGCTACCGCAAGGTAGGCCTTGGGAATCGTTGGGTCTGGACCAAGCTTTATGGCAACAACGATTGGACCGGGGCCAGTGCATTTTCTGCGGTGACCCGGGCCATATCAT